TAACAAATACCAGCACTCCCCCCTGAAGCCCCTGCCTCCTCCCCTCCTGGACGGCACCCCTCCTGGTGAAGCCGGCTGCTGCCTGAGCACCTGCAGGTTTTGTGCCTGGGAGGCTGCAGCAAAGCAGCTGATTGCAGTTTGCAGGGGGGGTTTCCACCCCAGCCAAGCCCCCTCTCAGTGCAGCAACAGCAGCCTCCGCCATGGCGGGTTGGTATTGCACAAAGCAACAGCTGCCATTAATTGAGACCCGATGTGCATCCACCCCCCCCTGCACCACCACCCTTTGCAAAATCCCAGCCCCCCCACAAGGCCTGGAGCCCGCCGGATGCTACACAGAGGGGCTGCGCAGCCAGCCAGGGTTTACCCACGGCCATGCACTGATCTGATGGAAAGGGGCTGGGTTCAGCCTTGCCGTGGCTAGGGACGCCCCCTCCCTGAACAGCCCCCGGATTCAGACTCCAGCAAACACTGCAGTGTTGCAGCCAGCTGGGCAGTGCCCTGGGCCCTCCACAGCTCTGGCGGGGCTGTGGGGCTGGCAGGTGGCCGTGAGGGGGGTGGATGGGTCCATCCCAGTGGTGCTCTCTGGACTGGGACGTCCCCTCCCAAGAGTGGGAGCTGGGGGCTTGAATGAGACTTGGCGGGTCTGGGCCATGTGGGTTTAGAAGGGGGAAACTGAGGCATGGTAAGGCAAGAAGGGTGATACCTAAAGCTCTCCCTGCACTCGGCACCGCGCCCCTCTGAAGTGAGCCCCAAGCCCCTCCGTATCCTGGACCCGCTGCTGCCCTGGAGCCGAGAGAGGGGCTACGTGCGAGCCGCGAGGTGCCAGGCTGCAGCGCAGCCCAGATGTGGCAGGATGCAGAGGGCGAGGTTAGGATCCACATGCATGTGCCTGTGGCTCCAGGGGAAGGCAGGGTGGCCGAGCAGGAGGGAGGGAGCAATATCCCCCACATCCCTGCCCCAGCCCCGGCAGGGGACTCGCCACCGATCTGCAGCGGGGCCCTTCGTTGCACCAGGGCGGCCAGTCACCTCACTGGGATCGAGAGCCAAACCCCAGCTGGCCTCGTCCCTGCCAGCCGGGACCATCAGACGGCTGCTGGCATCCCCCAGCTACACATCTGGCTGGGGTGGGGGTGTTGCAGATTCCCTGCCACCTCCCCAAGGCACCGGTGCCCCCTTCCCAGCCTCTCCAAGGGCTGGGGGAAGGAGGGGGACAGCTAGTTTGTCCCCCGCCGGAATGCAGCTGCCTCTGGGGTGGAACGCTGCTGCGGCAGAACAGCCCAAGGGAAACCTGTCCAGAGGTTTGTGCCCAGGTGTGAAGGAGAAAGCAATAGAAAGGGCAGCAGGGTGGCTGGGCAGAAAGAGGGAGGGAGGCAGAGCAGCCGGCAAGGAAGGGTTAAGGAGGGCCTGTGGGCTGCAGGTGCCCTGCCCTGCTGCACCTGGTTAAAAGGAGGCACCTGGAAGGGCTGAAGCTGCTGTCAGAGCCCAGGGGCTGGGAGCAGAGGGCCTGCCTGCTCTCAGGTAGGTCTGGGATGCCCCATTTTTCCACTGCCCCGGTGCTGGGGTTGCTGCTGGAGCCTGTGCATGGCATCTGCACCCGCTGGTCCTGCCCTGTGGGCTGGACTCCGGTGGGCTTCGGGCGGACAGGGGATGGGGAGTGTGAGGCTGGACCCCCCCACCGGCTTCCCTGGTGTGGGGCTGGGGTGGGCAGAGGGAGTATAGGCAGTGCCAGCCTGCTGCTGCTGGCCCCAAGCAGCATCTGCACAGCCCAGGCTGCCCCAGGAGCTCTGCCACGGCAGAGGGGAGCAATGACTAGGATGGTGCAATGTCCAGGGGGGAGATGCACTTTATTTTTGTGGCAGGGGAGGGCACTGCCCTGCTCCTGGGGAAAGGGCTGGTGTCCTGCCAGGCAGCTGCTGGAGGCGGGGGCGATCCCAGCCCCGCTGGCCTAGAGAGTGGCCTTCTGCTGCCTCCCGGCGGCCACGTGGTGCAACACAAGGGGATGCAAAGACTACAGGGGGGGAAACTGAGGCACAGCGCAGGGACGTGATTTGCTTGGGAAAGCACCCTGGCATCCTGATGCAGCCCCCAACCCCCTTCCCCTGCCTCCCAAACCGCTGACCCCAGGTGATCCCAATGCAACCCACCTCTGCCACTCTCCCCCTTCCACAGTCCATGCTCCTGACCTGTGCTGCTTGGGGGTGGGGGGCAGGGGGTCTCCAGAGCCTGGCAACGGCTGGGGCACTAATTGCTCCTGATGACCTGATGGAGCCAGTGGATGTAGAGGGAGACACGCGTGTAGATGTCAGGGAAGCGGCGGTCCCCGCACTTCTGCCCGGAGAAGGACACAACACCGCAGACCCTGCCCCCGCAGACCAGGGGGCCCCCGGAGTCGCCCTGCAAAGCCAGAAAGAGTGGAGGGGGAGGCTTGTGGGGCATCATGGGCAGGAGGGAAGTCACAGGGCCCTGCTGACATGTTAGATGGAGGATTGCTCACAGACCTCTGCGTCCCGGTCCTCCCCCTTCTCCCAGCCGGTGTTAACCAGCTGGCAGAGGCTGGGCACTGTTACAGGGAAGCTCGCAGCCTCAGGGTTTGAGCCTGGGTCGGATGGCCCTGCCAGCTGGGAGGACAGCTGCTTGTTTCTGGCACCAGGCTGCAGACTCGTGCCAACCTCATAACCCACCCTGGGGCAGTGGGCTTCCCTCCCAGCGGTGCCACTGGGCGGGGGTAGCAGTGACACTCACGGAGCAAACCCCCTGGAAGGTGGCGGTGGAGGCGGCGGTGCAGAGCATCTCGGCCGTGACGTGCCCCTTCCAGCGGGCGTTGCACTCCGTGCGGTTGAAGACGGTGGTCTGGGTCTCCATGAGCTCGACGGGGGACGTGCCAAAGTTGGAGATGTCGCCCCAGCCCGTGACCCGGCAGGCAACCCCGGGGCGGAGGTCGGAGTTGGGCTGGGGCAGGCGGATCTGCTTCACAAACTGGTTCAGGGTGGCCGACTGGTTCAGCTGGGACACGGGGGATCCCGTTGGTGTCTGTCGCCCTTGAGCAAAGGTGCCCAAGCCTGCTCCTGTCCCAACCCTGCACAGCTTGGGCTTGAATTTTTCCCCCCCCACTTCAGGGCCTTTTAACCCCCAGGAGACTCCCTGCACCATGCAGGCCTTGCTCTGTGCAGCTGCTCCGGGGCAGAAAGGCCTCTCCATCCATTACCGGGCATTTAAAGCTGCCTCTGGTAACTGGTAGCTTTGGAGGCAGCAGCTCTTGGGGGACTTCTGCAGGGCAAGTGGGGGAGAAGAGGCAGCGATGGACCCAAATTGGATCAGCTGAGACTCTGCCTCCTTGGGAGGGGGATGGAAAAGTGGGTGCAAATTCCCCCCCAGCCCAATCTGGCTGCGTCGGG